CGACCAGACCCACAACACCGGGGGCGCCGGCGGCTACGGGCGGCACCTGCTGGGCTCCGCCGCCGCCCCGCTCGGTGACCGCCTCCTGCGCGGCGCCACCGCCGAGCGCCCGGCCGGGCCGGAGCTCCCCGCGATGCCGGAGGCCAACGGCATGCTGCGGGGCTGCGAGCCGGGCAAGGGGGGAGCCGGAGCCATCGCTGCCGCCATCAACATCAACGCCTCGACCTCCAAGTTCCGTGAGTGACCGCTCTGGCCTCTGTCCCGGGGGCCTCGGGAGCTGTCGCTCGCTCCCTCCTCAGGCTGAGCTCCCTCTCTGCCCCCCCTCAGCCCCCAGGTCCCCGCTCGCCGCTCCCGCGCCTGTGGCTAGGCTCAGGTCTGTGCTGTGGCAGGTCCCTTAGGTCAGTCTTGGCCCGAGAGGCTTCTCGAAGCGAAACCAAATGTGTTAAGGAGCCTTGGAAGGCGAAAATAACATATTTTTTTTTTTTCTTGCATGCACCCCAACTTCTGCTGCCGTTTTCCTGTCATGGCATGGTGACGTGGTAGGTCTGGCTTCAGAACTGGGAGAGTGAGTGTAGGCAGGGTTTTCAGGTGTGCAGAGGCTCTGTTGCTTTTCCTGAGGCTTTTAGGTCAGGTTGTGATTTCCTGAATACTTTTTGTTTCTGCATGAAAAACCCAAAGTTGGGTCTGAAACCTGTTTCTGATTGCTGATGGCAGGCGGCAATGTGTGCAGAGCCCCTGGAAGGGGTGTGCTGTCCTGGAAGGGATGTATGTCTTCAAAGGCATGATGAGAACAACTGAGGATGAATTTACCTCCCAAGAAATAGTTCTGAAACATCTTTGAATGTAGTGTTTAACAGAAATGGCAAAAATTCTGTTGTTTTGGTGAGCTGAGGTTGAGGGAAGAGACAATCTTTCTGCTGTTCGTTTCAATTCTACTTTTATTCCTAGAAGTCATGCCTCTGGGCAAAACATACCCTTTTCTTTAATGGCTGTAGGAAAACTTGGATTTGGCTAGTTAAAAGTATTCCTGGAAATGTAACTGCCGTGATGAAATTTTGGTGGGAAATGCACTTTTTTTTTCTCTTTGTTTTACCGCCTTTCCCCAGTGCTACCTTACCTGTCCAGCTCCTCAGCAGTTCAGCTCCAGAGCTGATCAGAAGCTTGAAGTTCAGGCTTCTTGATCCCTGCTTCTCTGGTAGCCTGGGTTTCGTGGCTCTAGGCACATAGCCAAGGATGGCTGCTTTGAAGTTAAGGCTCCCAGACTCGGTGAGCTCTCTGGCTCTCTGCCTGCCTACCTTGCTTGTCAGGGCTCCAGGTACCTTGGGGTGGCTCGTAAACACTTGAGTCAGTTGAAATGAAATGTTGTTTGGCCTTGCTAAACTAAGCTCTTGGAAGTCCCAATCCAGAAATTTAGAGTCTTGGTTTTTCCTTCTATTTCAGAATGAAAATGGTTCTCAAGCTGTATCTTCACCAAATGGGAAGGTGAATTTCCAGCTAATCTACAATTTATGTCTAAGGGGGAGAAGAAGTGGCTGTGCATGACTTTGCTTAGGGTGTGGTTTTCGAGTTCTTGCTTTCACTTCTGCAGCCTTGGTATCCCACACAATATCTGTCTTACTGATACTAAGGATTATTTTAGAGAAAATTAATATTCCTGTAAAATACAAAATTCTTCGAGTTAAGTTCATTAGAACTTTTCTGCACCTTTGTGTTGTGGATAAATTTCACAGTATGTGTAAACAAACAGAATAAGTCCAGTGAAGTAGTATGGACTGAGAAAGTACAGGAGCTGAATTGGGATCCTGCTGGTTCTAATCCTGGCTCTGGCAGAGGATCCCTTAATCTCCTCTGTTTAATTTTCATGTATAGAAAAAGGGAGAAAGGTCACTTTCCATGTAAACACACTGTGAAAAGGGTGACAGTGTGTGCTGAATTTCTTCCTGCCTGCTCTGTCTTTGCGATGGAAGAACACACATAGAGAAGCTGATTGTCAGTCTTAAGCTTCGTAGGAAACGAGTCTGTTCTCTGCTGCACGAAGAACTTCTGGCAGTTGAATGAGCAAGGACTCGTGCCTTGCTTCGTGACACAGAAACTTAGTCTTAGGGTGGTTTTCAAAACTGTGGGTGACATACAGTTTCCAACAATCCTGTGATGAACCGGAGTGCTTCTGACATTCAGATGCGTCTCTCCCTCCCGATTCTTTCCTCCAAACAGAATATCCAGTGCCTGTGTTCCAGTATGTAATTACTTTCACTGGCTTGGTTTGGTTTGTTCATGTTCATAGTTGCAGACTAAAACTGTCTGGTGGGCCTTTTTTGGTTTAATTCAGCTGGCAGAATAATGGAGGAGGAAGGTTGGATGGAAACCCTTTTAAATGTTTCTAAGGGGCCAAATCCAGTTCTCCTTCCTTGAGATTTTGGTGAGACTGAGAACCAAAATCAGATATAATAATGTGTAGTTCATTTAATAGCTTTTCTTCTAGTTAAAGCACCTTAAGAAAATTTTCCATGTTTTGGTAAACTTATAGCTAAACACTTATTTACAGTTGATCAGCTTCAATGATAGTGATGGATTTATAAAGCAACAGTGTTATGAAAAATATTTTTTTTAAAGCCCGTAAGGGGAAATAAAGAGTCAGAGTGTTTAATATTTTAAGCAAAACTCTTCTGTACTCGTAATTGCAGCATGTCTGAATTGCAAACAAAATGAAGAGTTTTCCTTCTTGTTTTTTTTCATACTTTTCAAGCAAGGATGATTATAAATGTATTTAACCCCAGTCCCGTGTAGGATGGGCATATATGGCTGTGAGCGTTGGCATATCCATTAAATCTGTTGACTACCCTGTTGCGTAACGTAGTTTGGTGTGGTGTGTGTGCCTTCCTGCGTAGGCAAATTGTCTGATGAAGAAAAAGTTTAACATTACTTTTACTAACCAGTCTTAATGCGGGCTGAGAAACATGTAATAAAAATAGAATAGGATCGAAAGCAACTATAGGGCAGACTCTTAAAGTTGCTAATGTATGCTGGAATATGTCAGGCAGGGGATATAGCAAAATCTATTCTGTAAAAATGCGTGTGATGGCTGAGAAAAAGGAAAGTGTAGAGCCACAGCAGTAGCTTGAAGTCTGTAGATTAGTCTCAGACATTTGCTTGAAGAATTTGTACACTTTGAGAAAATATTTTAGAATTGTAGGGTGCGTGGCTAACTAAGCCGTAAAGCTTCATATATGTCACTTTGTGAGATGAAGTAAAGCTTCTGAAAGATGCCTAGTGCTTTCTTTGATTTTTATTGTCAGAATAAATGACAGATAATTGTCAGACCGATGTCTGCTTGTTTGACAGTAGGCTGGATTACCTGTCCTGCTCTGTCCTCTGCTTTTTTAGCTATAGTTTTAGAAGGATGTTTTTTATATGTGAACATAATAAACGTTTTGAGGAGCTTTTCAGGTTAAGTTGTCTCATCTAAATAACAAAACCAACAGTATCAATGATTTTTCTTTTTAAATCATTATTATATTCTTCATATCCTGTGCCTATTACTGTTCCAGCATCTTTTTTGAGCTATGTGTGTTTAAGTTTTTCTTGCCAATTTCATGAGGGATATATACCCACTTTTGGACTCTTTGTTTTTGTTTGTTTGTTTTTTTTAAATTTGACTGTTTTTTATTGTTTGTTTGGTTTTTTTTTTAAATTTGACTGTTTTTTGCCATTCTTCTGATTGAAGTTGATATCAAAGAATCTGGTAGCTTGGAGCAAGCTGTGTTTCAGTTATGGCTATGATACTGAAATATCTAGGTTATGATATGAAGCTCATGCATATTCTTTTTCACTTAAATGGTTTCACTGCTGCATCTGACTTAAACAGTTTTTCTTTTGAACTTTTCTGTATACGGAAAAGCAGCAGTTGCTTCTCAAGCTTTACTTGAAGTCTTTTATAATTTGCTGGAAAATACTGGCTTCCTTTCCATTCGATTGGGCTGATTTCTGTCCCAGCCCCACCCCAAACTTGCTGTGGTGGGATAAAATCATGCATTCTAGCATGCTTTGTTACAAAATGTCTGTGTCATTTTCTTGAGATTTTTTTAAGTTTCTGGGAAGTGAAATTAATCTTTTAGTATCACCCTTTCCTTGTAATTTGGAAATGGGATCTGTTGGACAAATCCTTTTACAGCTTGAATACCTAATGCAGGGGTAAACATTTAAGAATTACATCCTAAAAGTATGGAAAAGTAAAAAATTAAAGAAGTTTCTAAAAGGGCAGTCTGTCTTCTCTTTCTAAGGATTTGTGTGATTCCTTCCCTTCTTGGTCTTGAGGTTGTTTTTGCAGAGTTTGCAATTGGATGATGCTTCTTCAAGTCATCCTTCGCTTTTTGTGTGTGTGTCTAAGTACTGCCAGAAAAAAAAGGATGTTACTGGCTTGTGACAGTTATTAAAATTTTGAAGTAATTTGTTTTCTGGATTAGAGGAATGAAAACAGTGATGGTTCAGTGTGTAGTCTTTGGACTCTTAACTATATAAATATTATGGTTGGCTTAGTTTCAGAACTGAAGTGTGGAAATCAAATGAAATAATACTTGTAAGAGTCTTTTGAATAAAAATGAAGCTCTTCTAGAATGTTGCTTTGAACTCATCAGTGTTTCCTCTGCGAGTCTCCCGGGGCTGTTCATAAAAGCATTTTTTTCTTTTACCTTTGCAGCACTTGTAATGGGCAGGCCTTCCTGTCTGCTACTTCTTTCTTTTTCCATATTGTAAAAAAGGGAAAAAAAATATATATAAATTGATATCTTAACAGCCTGTTAAAAAATTATTTTGCAGTATTCTCAGTTATTCCTTGATTCTTTTCTTTCAAATGTATAGAGCTCATTTATTATGTTAAACCAAGTGTGGGTGTGATTATACATTGAAATCTTAAATCAAGTCTTGGTCTCATATTTATGCTGACTTCAGTTTAATGTTTTCTGCAGAACAGAGCACCTCTGTGGAGACCCACCCTTTTTGGGGGTAACAAAGTGAAATACAAATGCTCCAATTTTGCTGCTGAGTGTAAGCATGCTGCTACATGGAAGCTGCTCCTGAGAACATCTGCCGGGAGCCTGGGCTCTGTAAGGGATGAGAACTCAAGCAAGCCATTGCGAGACAGATGAATAAGGGGTGAATTTACTGTCAGGCGGGTGCTGTGCTGTTCCTGATCCCATGGATGATTTTATCTTGTGGAGCTGACTTGCTGGATGTGTTAACTTATGTCCTGGTAGTTGTGTACCCAGACCCATAACCTTTATCAACTTAGCAAACGGTGTCATACTTTCCAGTCGCAGGCTGGAGCATTGGGACAGCATCCCGCAGCCCTTGGTAGCGGTGACCTGTTCACTGCTCAGACACTTACTAGGTTAACTAGAGCTGTTTCTGTAACAGGTATGAAGCAAGAGTGAACCAGTGGCTAGTTGGGTGAAGAGGTGGCTAGGAGTACTGCACTAACATTCTTCACTAAGCAAAGTTTCTGACTGAAGTACCCTGAAAAGACATACAACAGGAATCTATAATACCTGCTCTTACAGACAGCGTTCAAACGGTTTCTTGTCTCATGCCTCTCTTTATTCAATGTTCTCTTTATACTCTTTTTTTTTTTTCTTCTCATGGTGCTGTTAACTGTTTTGCTGTATTTCCCTAGAATTATTCTTCGTAATGCTGCCAAAAGTGACTTACCCAGCTCCTTTCAACCCCTTGTGAAAATAACATTTCAGAAGTCTTGGTCCTCAAACCCCGCAGTGAATCTACATTTTTATATATATTTAAAATGCAGTCCTATTAAAAATATTTCTTTTCAGTGCGGTGTCTAAACTGGATTCTTTGGGTGGGAACTGTCTTTATTCTCTGTTCTGTATAGCCCTGACCCACATGTAGAGTCAAATGAAGAAATGACTTTAGATTTCCTGGACTGGATAGTTTTGATATGAAGTATACGCTGTGCTGTTAGTTACTGAGGGCTTTGTTTAGTGGTGGTGTGACAAGCCAGCAAGGTAGTCCTGCCAGTCCATCTCTGAAGGGAAGGTGTTAACCCTTCTCCTGTGCCTGCTGTTGGAACTGAGCCATGTGTGGTTAATTCAGATATCCTCCCTGAAAAGAGATTAAAACCCTTTTGCGTCTGTGAAGGCACACAGAGTGGTTTGCAGAAGAGGGTGCAGTTGGGAAGCTCACGAGGAAAATCAGGGAGTGATGGGGAACGCTAAGTTAAATGACTCCTATTCTTCCCTGTGTCAAGCCTTATCTGGAAAAGGAATATTATTGTGCCTGCTAGAGGGGGAACTGTAATACAGATCCAAAAGAATTGCCTGGGAGCCCAACTGCAGTTGAAGGCAGAGAGAATTGCATCAGCTTTTAGGCCAGGGAAGCTGCTGGTCTCACCTGAGACTTGTAAAACTGATATATCTGCTGGGAAGGAGTATTCTAAAAACTACCAGTTTTGGCCGGATCTTGTTCTCCTGCATAGGAGGACCCAGTGTTAATTGTTGACTCTGGACTTCCACAAAGTTGAGTAATTTACTAATCTGAGCTAACTACTAAACTACTCTATTATTATTAGATTGTCATGCTAGAACTCCCAGGATTTTGTTTTTCACTGCTACTTGGACCCCTAAGAAATATCCAAGCATTTATTTGGCAGGTTTTCTGATTTTATTTTCTGTAAATAAAAAGCTACAAATTCAAGTCTGGGCATTAGTTTTAGATGAAGTTATCTTAGTGGAAGTGGACTATTCCCAGTTTTTTTAGACAGCTTATTGGTGTGATCTGAAATTGCAGAGGATTCACTTGCTTCTAATCTTTTAGCTAAAGTTACTAAATGTAGTTTTGTCTTTTTCTTGTAGTAATGAATGTTATAACAATTGAAGACTATAAGAGCACATATTGGCCAAAGTTGGACAGTGCCATAGATCAGCTTTTAACTCAGAGTCCTGGTGACTACATCCCTATCTCCTATGAACAAATATACAGGTAAGGAAATCTTTTAAGTGCTATGTTTGTTTTATCTTGCAGCCTATGTGTGTATCATGTTTTGTATTTATGACGAGGAAAATGGGAAGGTTATGTGAAGTACAATGTTGTTTAAATGGTTGGAATGAGTGAATAATAGATACATATCTTGACATTCCATGTTAACAGTAATAAATGCTAAAGAATTAAAATGCATAAGTGCCGAAAACATTAAAATTAAAGTAGCTCCACCAAAGTTGCTTAGTGTAATGTATTAAGAAATGTATTAAAGTGTCAACATCCCTTTCCTCAAAGAGGAAGAGGAGACTGGCGTGGTAGGCATTTGACTTAGTGTTTCAAAAGGCTTCTTTGTCACATCTAGTGGGAACCAATTTGGTGCAGGTGCCAGGGTCCATCTGTAAAAACTGTCATTTCTGTGTTTTGCATCAGGTGGATTTGGTCTGACTTCCCCCTTGCCCTGCTATCCTGCTGCATGTGCAGTTAGAGGCTGTCCGAAGGACTAACACAATATTCAGTCCTTTATATCTCCGTTCTTGTCTGGAGAACATTTAATTTGTACCTGGCCCAGAACTGCAGTTTGCTTTAAAAAGGATCTAATCACTGGCTAGAACTGCTCTGCGGACTAAGCTAGTGCACAGCAGTGGGGATGGCAGGGGATTTGCTTCAAAACCACACTACTTCTCCAAACCAAAACTCTTAAGTACTTTAGAGACCTAACAGTTTCTTAGGAGATTTGCAAAAACAGATTTCCGTTCTGTAGGTGACTGGTGTCCAAGGTGTAGGTAAATAGGCTGGAAACTGAGTAGCTGTGGCTGCATTTGCTGGCCAGGATGCTGTTAAAACTGCTGGCCCTTGCCAGCAACACAGCTAGTCACACTGCTGTCGTCTTGTTCTTTACGATAGCTTGCACCCTAAGAAATAACAGCAGCTCGGTCACTGATTGCTCTTTTTAGAGGCTTTCAGCTGTAACGTCTCCTGCCCACTTGCTTTTCGCCACTTTGTCGCTCTAGTTTGAGACTTTGGATTAGGGAACCAGATACAAGAACAGCAGGTGTTCAGTCTTCCCTTTTAATTCCAGTTAAAAACTTGAATAAACTTCCTCTTTCTTCTCCAAACTTTTCTAACTGCTGTTATCAGGACTCAGACATCATAACGTGTAGAAGTAATAAGTAATTGAGATGGTAATTTGAATTGAGAGGTGTTTTGCAGCTTTAGTGTAAGTAATCAAAATCCTTTCCCTAGCTTGAGATCCGTAATGTGCAAAGAGCCGTCAGTAAGAGTTAAGCCACAGTCTCTTGATAGTCATCTCTGATAAAGAGTAGCTGTGCAAAATTAAGGCTTTAATACCTAGAATAGATCTGTACCTAGTTATGGTTTTCACATAACTGCAGTTTATCTTTGTCATCTTTTTACTGCTCAAAAGTTTTTTTATTAAAGGAATGATGGATTTTTAAGTTTCTCCTAGCTAACCCTGATACGTCAGGGTGATGCTTGATGCAGTATTGTAATGATGCACAGATATCTGTTGCATGTATTTTACCAGAACAAAAGATTGCCTGTGTTAGTGTTATTGATAAAGCTAGTGCGTCAGTTTTTAAAGTTTTCTTTTAAAAACTGTGTCTGTGGACGTAATTATTCTGACATGGCCACTTCCAACCAGGAGTTGGGTTTTAAAATTTTTTTTAGAGGGTGTCCCTTAGCTTTACTTATAATCTAGACAACATAGATTGAGGATTGAAGAAAAACTGCTTTTTTAATTGAATTTGATGATGATGCTTGCTTGCAGTATTGCAGACAGTTTGTAGCAGACTGGGGGTTTAGATCTTCTCTGCTTCCCTAGGCTAGTTCTTTAGTCTGAAAATGAGATGTTTTTTGAAGTGGTTCAAACAGCTACCTATCTCTTATATTTTTTTTTTTACAGTGAAACTGAGCTGAAAACACAGTGGTCTTTTTGATCGTCTTTGTGCTGACTAAAGGAATCAGGGTTTCCATAATGCAAACTCAAAATGTGTTGTTAGATACCCAAACTACTATATTTGACATGATCAGTGATAACTGTAGGTGTGTGCTCCACGGCAGTGAAAGCTAGGAGGTAACTTCAAAGGTGTGTATGCGGATATTTCCTGTGGATCAGTTTACCCATAAGGTGTCAAAGCGTAGTTAGTGACTGTTTTCATCTTTGAGTCCAAAGTGCATAGTCACTTCCTATTAAAAGGGTTAAATATATTAACAGAGATATGTGAAGGAAACTTTGAGATGAGGAAATTGTGAACAGTGAAGTTGTACATGTGGCAGCTGTTACAGCTGCCTCCCAGGTACAATGCAATTAGACTGCTGTTCTTCAAGACAACTTACAGATCTCGGATTTTCATCCCTCTCAATAAATGCTTACCTTCTAATGTCCTGTTTGGGTCTTCCTTTTCCTAAGGTGTTTGGTTATGCTAAAGGACTAACAAGCTGCTGACTTCTTTTGGGTAATAGCAGGGCAAGGATGATTCACAGAATCAGCCCACAGTCAGGAACTGGAAACAGGATCTGAAAATGGGGAAGGAACCTCTAAATAGAAGTGTTTGAATAAAATGTAAACACACTCTGCACATACATGTATAAGATTGGTGTTTGACGACAGAATGTGTGGCAGAAGTAGGTATAGCAATATTTTATGTAACACTAAGCAGACATACTTTAAAATTCAGTTTAGTTACATCATTGCAAATGAAGTGGTCAGTTTGTGGAAGTGGCTATTTACTGGTTAGTTGTGAAGCAAACAAACATATGGCTGTTTGCCTTGTTACCTAGCTGGCTGGTTTGTAAGAGATCACAAAACTCAGTCTGGCTTTTCTTATCAGTGTTTCTCTCTTTGAGCCAAATTAAATTGGTATTTTTGCTGTTACTCCATCATAGCAAAATGTCTCTTGCACTCGCTTGTTCCAAAATAGGATCTGCTATTGGTAGACTTCATGTGAAAGAAACAGGATGACTTTGACTGTTATCTAAATCATATCAAACTACAGATACAATTATTTTTAAAAGACAATAGTAGGAGAGGTGTCGGGTATCTTTTGGTTTGTAAGAAAGAAATAGCATGGTTTGCCAAATGAGCAGACTTTGTGTCAGGATGAATGTTGTATTTTTGGGCTTTTGAAGTTGTCGACGGGAATAAATACAAACTTCTAAAAGTTACCGATAATTCACTTGTAAAACCTTCCTCCAGAAGACTTTGAGAGTAGCAGTTATTGAAAGAGAGTGCTGTCTTGGGCCCTGAAGGCTTGGAGTTCTCACTTGCATTAGAAAATTCCAATAGCCCATAGTCTATGGTTGGTTTAATCCCATCTTTGCCATTAGTTTGTCATTATACTACTTTCCCAGTAGAGAACTGGAATGTCACGATTCCCTTGCAGAGACGCAGTGTTGCTGTACCATAGCTTTAGGCTTTCAGTGCTCTTAAAAACCTGCAGAATTCAAGTCTGGGATCTGGACCTTCCTGGAAATAGTTTGTGCATGTCCTAAGGAGCGGTCTCTGGCCTAAGTTGTTCTCTGGCACAATACTCTGTACGGAAGGATAGAGGGAGAGGGGAGCAGGACAGAGGCATGGAGAGGAGATTTGACTTGCCCAAGATACCAGGTGAAGTCTTCCTTGTGCCTCTTGATTTTTGGCAGCTGGCTTTCAAAATGCTGACTTTAAAGAATGAAAGTGCTCGAGAAGTAAAAGCTGCTTGGTACAGATAATGTTGGTGTTAGTCCTGACGATGATGACTACGTTAACGTAACTTCTTGTTAAAAGTAATATGTGTGTGTTTTACAACTGTTGTAAATATGTTTTCAAGACGTAGCCTTATTTTGCAAATATGTTATATTGCAGTATGAGAGCAATAAAATGCTCTTAAAAACCAAAGGTTACACTGAAGACCAGAGTTAACACAACCAAACCATGGAATGTAGAATTACTCTTTCTCTGCATCTTTGTTTATTATGAAAATGTTTATTATGAAAATGTAGGGTTTCTGTAGAATTTAAGTAACAAGGGATTGAGTAACATGCTTGGGTCTGTAATTTTAGAACTTCTGCTGTGTCTTTTTAAAACACTAGCATGGTTTCGATGCAGCTTCTATGACTGCCTGTCAGTGTTGCCCTTCTTTTAATAAGGGTTTTGCCTTAGAATATGCACATAATCATTAAACCTGCTTATTTTAATGGAGATCTCATTCACATAGGAGAGACAAAAGCCAGAATTAGGAGTGTGCTGTTGACAGAATTATCCTAGCTGTTCTGAAGTGCCCTGTTAAGAGAACTCATTGTAAGTTAAAGTGAGGACGGGGAGTGGGAATGGGAATGGGACCGACACACTGGGGCCTCCAGGGGAGACTTAAAAGTTTGCTGGAGCTCGTTCCAAGCTCAGGGCTGTATTTGAAAGTTCAGCAATCATTCAATTAACTCTATTATCCTTTAAATTGAGACTTGAACAAAATATTTTGAAGTCTGTTACCCTTCATTGCAAACTGTTGTTAAGTTCATTGTTTGTTCCTATATTTGTTTCTGCAGTTGTGTGTATAAGTGTGTATGCCAGCAGCATTCGGAACAGATGTATAGTGACCTAATAAAAAAGATAACTAACCACTTAGAGAGAGTCTCAAAGGAGCTGCAGGTAAGAAGCTGCACAATCTAATTCTGTCTTTCCTGGGATTCGTGATTATATCAGAGCAGCATGTAGATGACCCATGGATGGGATTGCCGTTAAGATTGATTTATACTAGATTACTAAATTGCGGACTACTTCCTTCACTAACTGGCTTTCAGACAGAATACCAACTACTAGATCCAATTGCATGGCATGGACTAGCCTTAGAGATCTGAACCACGCGGAAAGCAGTGGCTAAACTTGAATATATCATATAGAATCAAAGACTAGAGAATGGGGAATCTACAGTATAATCTAAGATGTAAATGCTTTGGTCAAACATGACCTAAGCACGTGGATGCCTGCCATTGCTGTGTTAATCTATATAAACTGTTTATGGTCCTTATAGATCACAAGGAGCACAAAAGGGAAACTCTAAAGGAAAAAAACAGAGTGACATATATGAATTATAAAGTATAAGTTAGGAATTATTGCATATGAAAGTTTTGTGCTACATTTTATTCTGCATTTTTCTTGCCTATCTCTAGATGTCAGTGGTTTACAGCAGTCCTAATACCGTTTGTATATCCCTATCCTTCTCTGCATCTTATTTGTGCGTCCATGTTTGTTTTCATGTGTGCTTCTTGTTGAAAATTCCTTTTAGGCTAGAATCTCCAGACATTTTCTTGAAACTGTCATTGCTGTATCAGCAACACTTTTATTTCCCTCCAGCTTTTGTCACTTCCATAACCGATATTTGATTTTTGTACTGACTTGCAGAGCATCAAGTAGAGATACTAAATACAAGGGAACCCTGAACTATAGCAGCTCCTGCAGTGCTTCCAGCAATTGATAACTAATTTGTTAATCAAAAGCAGTCTTACTACTTTTAGCTGCATCAGGTGCTTCAGGCCAAACGTGCATTCCCATCAAAAGATATAGCGCTGTGATCACTCTGTCCTCATTTCACTCTTTTCCTCTTGTTGCTGTCCCTTTAAAGAAAAAAGAAACACCCTGCTTTTAATGGGCATGCTCTTTGGGGCGATCTTTGACTCTAAAATATCTAGGTTGTCTTGAGCTAGGATTTTTGCTTCTTTTTTTCTCTTAAGATTTCTTTATTCCTTGTGGAATTACAGCCTCGCTGTTCAGTAAAAATTGGTTAGAGTAGGTGGACATACTATTTAAAATAAAGCCTTCCTTTGGTTCTGCTGAGCTGGTGCAGCCTGTACATTTTTCTTCTGCTTGTGAGAGCTACGAATCATTGCAGCTGTACAGGTTTGGCCAGTTCTTCTGATACATCCCATGGTAATGTACTGCATTATTTTGCTTTGAATTTGGGAATACCCCAAATTCTTTACTCTGTGGTAGTCCTTGATTCTTTGCTCTGAAGTTCCAAAACTGACTGAGGCAGCTGCTTTTAAAGTTTGCTTCAGCACATATGTGCATTAAATGTTTCTGCCTAAAACCATGGCTGCCTTCTGAACACTAGCTGTTGAAAGAACAATTGAGACAGCTATTTAATGCAATCTTTGTCTTGCAAAAGTTTCCTTATGTAGGTTAGACACACCTTGTGGCAGGTGGCAAGAGGACTGTAATGTAATGTGATACCGTCTTTGAGTGTATTACGTGAGTTTTGTCTGACGTGAACATGAGTTTGGTTTTGGATGGTGAATCCATGTTTTGAGCTGCTTGAAGCAAAACTCATGTGCCTTAGAAAACTGTCCTGGAAAGAAACTGTTTTAACTGTGGGTTGTGAAATTTACTCTAAGAAATTACTTTACTACAATATATTTTATTATCCTGATACCTTTTTGATCTTAATGCATTTTGGTGACACTCAGTCACTTGGGTTTTATGTTGAAAATATCATCCTAGATCTTTAACCTACCAACGAGAACAAATTACTTTGTAAATGTTGGTCATTTGGAAGTTTCTGGTTCACACAGGCAAACAATGAAAACCCCTGTATATGCGAATCCTTTTAATGCACAATAGGTGGTGTTTTGCTTTCTCTGACATAAACTCATTCCACCTGCCAACAATATTTAATTTAATTGCAGAGTTCTGTTTAATTGGCAAGGTGTGACTTGATGCAAGATAATTTTTATTTTTTTTTTAAACAAAGAGATGCAAATGTAGCCCAACAGAAGCAGTTGGTTTGTGTAAGAAAGCAGATGATCATGAAAACTTAAATGGCAGGCAAATGCAATGTCGTACTCTGGACAAGCTGAGCAACTTCTTTGCATAGAAGTGCAACGGTTTAATGGCAGGTGCATTGCAGAATATCTACATGTAACCAACATGCCAGAGCAAGCTGTTACCTACAAGAACCACTCATCAACAGCAAAAGCAGTAAAACTGTCAGATACCAAATAATAAATTTGGGAGTGTCTCAGGGGACCGGTCAGACTTGCTCTTGCATGGTTCTAGCTTTAATGGAGTTTGTCATCTTTCTGCGAGGCATTCACTGCTGAAACTCTCTATATTATCCCCCACTGCCCTGTGCTTAGCCCTCGGCTTGCTGGACCAGCTGGCCTCAGCTGAAGTCAGCGGAGCGGTGGGCACTCGGGTGTCCTGAGCTGGGTGTCTCGGGTGCTGGTGCCCCATGGTCACACAGGGGCATGCACACGCTCCCTGGTCATCCGCTGCATGACTTCTGCTCTTCCAGACTGCAAGACACCTTGTGTGGCGTTGGTGTTTGTCACCACGTGAGCTCCCAAAAGTCTGCTTCACAGGTTTTCACCTAAAAACCAAAAAAAAGTAATTTTCATTGGTGGCAGAAGCATTATGAAAACGTGGGTGGGCTGATGTATCCTCTGCGTGTTAGATGTTGGGTGAAAGGCAGTGAACGTTGCCTGCTGAGTGGTAGTAGATTTAGATGAGATGCATTGCTTGTCATCAGACCATCAGCTCGTTGACATAGGGCCTCCTATATCCCAAGATATTTCTGTCTCCCTCCTTACTGTGTGTCAGTAAATGATCCTCTCTTCAGTCTTTCCATGGCTGAAACAGCCTGAGTAAGGATTGCCTTCCATTCTTGCAATCAATGACTGGCCAGTTTCTCTGCATTAGTAAGACTGAGTTTTGCCATGTGGAGCTTCCAGTAATTGCGAATTAAATTTCCCTAATTCTTGAGTTGATCAGAATTTTGGAGTTTGTGTGCTTAAAAAAAAAAAAAAAAGGGTGACTGCAGAAAACGAACGTGTTTCCTGTTGTCTTCAGGTCTGTGAAGCCTGTAGTACACAGATTATTTTTCCAGGATGCTTTATTTGGAAACATTCTATTGGTAATGGACATAGCCCATTATGTTATGTTTTAAAATAATGACAGCTGTTTTTGTGGGTAAGTGCTGAGTCATTCAGCTGTATGAGGTTGGGTGGATACACAGGCATACGCTTTCAAATTAAATACATCTCTTTTTGAAATGAATAAAACTATATTTGCATTAGGCACTAGTGTTTCTGGCTTAACTTATTCTTATGCACTCTGATAAATTCATTTAAAATCAAGTACTCTGCCCATTACATATCTCTTCAGCAAAAGACACTGCAAAGAACTTTAAGCGTTGACAATCAAAATACACTGAGGCATTGAGCTGATCCATGACACAAGTAGCTTTTTTTATGCAAGTGCAGTGGAATATTTTCATTTTAGTTAGAATAATCTCAATACTTCCTTTGGGAAATGACTGAGAGCCCAAAAGCAGTTCTTTGTCATGTTGCACTTTCTTTTTATTTAGAGAAAAGAGAAAAAAGAAACTTTTTTTGTTTGTGTGTGTTGGAGGTGTTTGGTTTTGGGTTTTTTTTTGTGTTGACCAGAAACTGTTGAGTTCACTAACTATATGTAATTATGTTCATTGAAGTTAATAAGTGAGAATCAGTCTCTCTCTGAGTAAATAAGCACTGGTCTGCTGGTTTCTATTTTAAATCAAACAGAAGCAGTAGAGCTAAACCACCAGAATTTCTTGCTTAAAGTCCATCTGTCTAAAAGCATTGGATTAAATTTGGAGCCAACTGCTGATAGTGTACTTAGGCTCTTGAACACTCCAGAGGGCTTGGGGTTTTTCTCTTTATTATGTCTTGAGATAAGTATGCATTTATGTTTTTTTTTTTTTAAATTATGAACAATATATTTTTTTTTTATAATGAAGCTGACATAATTTGCATGGCTGCTCTGTGGCCCCCAGGACCTGTAGATTTAGAGTCTTCAGTGCTATGCCAGAAAGCTTTCCTGCCTCAGATTAATCCTTACAACTTCTCAGCCCTCTGTCTTGACAGCTCTCAAACCAGTCGGTGCAGTGTATGAAAATACCTTCTCACCTATTCTTTTCTTGGAAGAATGTGCATTGGAGTCAGGTTACTGTAAAAGCCATTCTGCTATTTTGAGGTCTGCCAAATCTCTGGGATCTGAGTGCCTTGTATCACGTCACTGTTGGTTGCCATCTGTTCTTAAAAATATGTCAGCAATATCTGTTGTGGACAACCTGTTCCTTCCATGCCTTTTCCCTCCTTCTTTCCTTCCTTTCTGTCTCACGTTTACCTTCTACTTTTCTCCTGTGATTATACGGAGTTCTGCCATCTGTCATCTTCTGCCCCAACTCTTTCTGAAGCATTAATCTGATAGTCACCAATCTGATACATATGGTAAGGCTGTCAGATGCCTTACTCCAAACTTCAGATTAGGATCTGAACTTTCTTAAATGTCTTTTAGAAACGTTTGTGTAACTTCCAATATTTCTCCTGGTTACAGGATTAAAAGTGTGAAGCTTAAGTGGCGTGTCACACTTTCCTTGTAAGCTTTGCATATAGTCAGGGTGGTATAAGCATATAGCATACAAGTAGTGCTTTGAGGGGCTGCTAAAACTGAACTTCTGACTGTGGATGGAGTTATGTACTGGGTACCATCTCATAGCAGTTATTGGTACTTATACTTTAAGGTAATTATACCCCGGATTGTTTTGTATATTGCTTTCCTTCCAAGGTACACAGATCATTACATTACATTTATATAGTGCTATATTGTTATTG